TGGCAGTGTGGTGCAATGTGTTATGATCTAATGTTGGCAGTGTTTGTTTTATGTGTGACTCCTCCCACCAGAGGATGGCTGTGGGTTTTTTCCCCACTCTCTTAGGAGGTGGACACCTGGGCGTGCCTGCTGAGTAGTCCTTGGATAATTGGCTAATCACCTCCAGTATTTAACTACCAGATGACAGCCAGCTGGCCCCCTCTCTCCTAACCTCCACCATCCAACAAAGAACCTGTGTTTTGATTGGTTGCTGTGTAGAGTTTCTTTGACAAAGTGATTTGCAAGTATAACCTCGTGTGTGTGTCTGGCGTTAGTACCTCAATTTTGTAAATAGCTGTAAATAGATTTGTCAAGTAGCAATCGTGTATTTTGTTCACCTTGTATATATCCTTCACTGCAGCAGCCTAGTAGGCGTGAGAAGCCATTTTTGTTGATTACGTTTTCTCCTGTTTTTTATTTAGGAAGTTAGGTAAGTGAATTGTCTTTTGTTTTCATTTTCATTTTGTGTAGGAAAACGTAGGGACCATTAGGAAGTTTTGTTTGTTCTTTTTGGCACTGCTCACTGCTGAAGAAAATAAATGTCTGCTTAGCACTTTAAAAAGATATTGTGGTTTGTGTTCTTGCTTAGGTGGTGTGTGAGTGGGCCAACTTCTTGTTGCGTTCAATACTTGCCTAGACTAAGAACGTAACAAATACATTTTGGCATGTAGACATGCTCAAGACGACCTGCTGAAGTTCAACAGGAGCATCAGAACGGGGAAGAAAGGTCATTTAAGTGATGTTGAATGTAGTATGATTGTTGTTACCAGACAAACTAGTCTGAGTATTTCAGAAACTGCTGAGATTATTCCTGCACAACCATCTCTAGGAATTACAGAGAATGGCCAGAAAAAAAAATGTTTCCTATTGACCAGGAAACACAGACTCGCCAAAATTGTACAACAGAAGATTGAAAAATCATTGCCCATTGTTAAGTCCAGATTTCTGCTGTGACATTCAGATAGTAGAATCAGAATTTAGAGTAAAGAACATGAAAGCACAGGTCCA